CGATAACACCCACCAGTTCCTCACGGAAAAAATGAAAAGGAACAAATTTCATCCGGAGAAGAACGAAATGTTATTCTCCGTCAACCCTTCTACACTACATGATCAACAAAGAGATAGACGCTTACCTACCAACATCGCAAATCGCCAAAGCTAGTCTAGCTCTGATAGAGGAGATGTGTCTATGGGATAAACCAAAAGGTGGACGTAAACCTCTCGCCAAACAGGAAACGAACATCAACATGAACACCCCACAACTAGCCCCGTCGTGCTGCCGAGGGACACCTTTCACGCTGACCTCGGGAGCGAAGTGGTCGTAAGTGCGACCATCACCGGCGGCACCTGCCACCGTGTTCAAAAATTTAACAGTTTTATCCAGAAGTGCGGAGTAGAAGGAATCTTTGGATGACGAACACGAGAAAGAATCATAGATTTCCAAAACACGTCTAGAGAAGTCAATGGTCAAAAGGCTCCAGTGTTCGCCGTCCTTGTGCACTGGTGCCAAGACGAGGTCATGAGACAAGAGGTCGACATCTTTAGCCTATCTTAGAACAGTTGCCGGACCTCGCAGCAGCAGTGAAGAGGCGAAGAAGGAGTTAAAGGTGTATGTCTTTATGGTAGCGGCAGTCCGGCCGCAGTCGTCCAGTAGCATCGCCATGTAAAAATTGACAACCTCATCGTTGAGCTCCCCGGATCTATCCACGAGTGCGACAATGTCCTTAACGAATACTTGTAAACTGTGAGACGGCAAACGCGCGACGATGTTAGTGAGCGGCAACCGGGAGCAGATAACGTTTTCAAAGACCGCTCTTCCATCTCGAGGAAACCCTGTTCAACAAACACACGCAACACATAGCAAGCACAAAGGACGGTGCGCTATGAGAAAATGTCATCCTAGCGGCCATGGTCCGAGGAACCGCTACTCTGTGGTCCGAAAAGTTCACGCATAACGTCACCCCTACTTCTGGACCTTCTACACACAGTTGATTCTAAACTAGCACTGTCCTTTATATCCCTGCAAGCCTCGAGAAGGAATTCCTTGCAGTCTTTTTCGGCAACACCCATTGCCTCTGCAACGAGTCTTGCGCGGGAGCCCAATACGGGCACGACTACCCTTCTGGGAGGGCCTCGAGGCTTAGTGTCCCAGGGAACGCATCAGTGACATTGCGACGACCAGTGCCTCCCGCAACCAGGACTGAAAACCTGGCGAGGGCAGGCGACTCCTGCGACATGGGTGTTTGTCCACGAGTTCGTCGACCTGTACAAGAAATAGCCACCCAGACAGTTCAGCAGGAGATCAACAACACAAGTTCGCAAGAGCAACCAAGCAAACAGCACCTCACGAAGCACATCGTMACAATCCAGTTGGCGGCCGTCTATACACCTCCCCGAAATCGACGAAGCAAACAACACTTCACGAACGGGCTGACGAGCGGGAAGAAAGCAGAGAAAGTTAGTGCTTCCCAGGCCTAGCTACCACTTCACCAGAGCCCATCGACGGTAGTCCCAGCACGATTGGCACCCCTGCGCACGTCGACGCGGCGACGACGCACTCCAAACCCACAGGGAAACTTGACAGGCTCGAGATGTCGGCGTCGATGACCGTAGATGGTATATTCGTCTCCGGACAAAGATCGTCGACGTCCACAACATCGACAGGTTGTGTTTTATCCATTGCCGCTGTGTCGTATTGTGTTGGGCTCAATGTCTCATGGATGTCCAACAACAGCTCTCCCCTCCTTAACTTCTTGTCCCTGTACACTGTGTCTTTGTCGTCGTCACTCAAATAGAGAAATCTATCTCCAACAACGCCAGAGGTCTTCTTCAGAACGTCCTCCCCCATCGCCTCGTTGTGAAGGGCGGAGTACAAGGGATTGTCGTATCCCGGCTGAACTGGTAGCTCCATCCCGACGTCGCTGAGTGTCGGATCAATCCGGTCGTCGGCGGAATTGTCCTTGTCCAAAGTCGTCAGTAGTCGACAACCCTCAACGCCTGCCAGTTGAAGTCCTTCGTCCGTGTGCCTCGGATGAATCCGAATCACGGTCGTCTCCAAAGATGCATCAGGGAGGGAGATGTTCACAGGGCCCTGGTTCGGATTCATCCGAGCCCCCGCAGTTTCCAATGACGCCGGCATGACCGCTTTCACCAGGAAAGTCGCTTACGACTGCTAACTTGGCTCCGAGTGTGTTGGGCTCGACATTGGAACTGGTCGCCAACTCACCCTCAGTCCGACAGTCCGCCTGCAGCTCCTTGTGGGCTTCCACGCAGAGCATTACTGCATCCTGACACCGATCGTCTGTCATGGCAGACACGGCTTCCTGGTTCGGATGAATCCGAATTTCGTCGCCAGGGTTTTCGAAAACCCGGACCACCCATTCGAGTTCTGTAAACAGTTGTGCTCCCTCGATGGCATGGCCTTCGCGGTTCGGATTAATCCGAAATTCCTTTTGAGGCAAAACGGAACACGGTTCCAGCTTGTCGCTGTCGGACCCGTGGTATGTTGTCGTCTCGCTTCCCAGAAGGCACTGAGTTTCGGACAACGAGGTCGTCTCCGAGGTTCAGATTGATCCGAGACAATCCGCCAACTGTATTTGGAGCTGAGCGAAGCATGTTCCATGCTTTGCAACACCCGCCCCGCCAACCGCATCGACAAACTGTGTTTCGCTGGTGGAGCTAATCACAGGGTCCTGCTCGCCAGGCCGCGTAATACACCCAGGGCTCAAGTCGTTCCCCGTCTCCATTGAGGTGCTGCCTGTTACCGCCAGAACCCTACCATCCATGTCGCGGTCGACATCGGACCCCTGCCCGTCTCCTCTGTGATGCTTTGTCTTCTCTTCGCTGCGAGGCTTCTTCTTCTCCCGGCTGCCCTTTCTCCCCTCTCCGCCGCCTGCGTGCCCCGGAGACCGCTGTTTCGTCGATCGCTGTTCACTTCCACCTTCGGTACCTCGTTGCCCGCCACCTTCACCATCCCCGTCGCCGTCCTTTCCGCGAGACTTGCGCTTCACAACTCTTGCCGGCGGGGTGACCCCAGGCAACTCCCAACTCACTTGCTTAATTGACGGGCTTGACAGAAGGGCGTAGAACGCGGAGGACACTTCTAACCATTTATTTGACTGCAAGAACTCGAACAGCGTGTCCCCGTATTCGCGAAGAGCAGGGTCGTCCTTATTTCGTCGATTGACCTCACTTAATCTCTCCAATACCGCATCGCAGGCGCGAGATTTGAATGTCTCGAGGTCCCAACGATCGTCATATATCCACCCTCCACGTACGTCCCTCACAGCCACTGCCCATTCGCCGTCGAGAAGGACTGGCTGGAAATGGTCTGGGTGCCACACGATATCATGGCCCCAATCTTCGGTTGTGGAGAAGGTGTGTTTGTCGCCCATGTGGAAGGGAGTCGCAGGAGCCTTGAGATGCGGATGGTCCGGAGGAACTGGATGGCCGGGTCGAAGACGTTCGGGCTACGGCGTGAGACGAATAGGCTCCCCCGGCGAACTCCTCAGACGGGACAACCCACCCCTCTTGACAGCCGCTGAGGAGGACACGGGCGTGGGACCGCCCGAGGTAGGTGCAGCGAGAGGTGTCCCCGGTTTGCATACTGATGGCGACTCAGAAACTTGGGCGTTGAAGATGGCCAATTGCCCGTCCAAATCAAAGAGGTCATCCTCAACGCTCTCCTCCTGCTCAGTCTCGATATTGAAGTCGTCCTCCTCACCGAATGCCAGCTTGTACTTATCCAAAGTGAAGTCGGCTGGATCGACAACATCCTCGTTAAAAAAGACATATTCCAGCCTCTTAATGAAGGTCACAGCACCGGCCCGACTTGCTCCGTGGTAGCCCTGGAGGTCCGCAATGGCGACTTCCTTCCGCACCACGTACTGCGGGTTAAATCTCAACCTTGGTTGTTCGTCGCAAAGGAAGGAGTAGACCTCGCGCCTTTTCTTCGGAGTCAACTTGAAGAACATGTCCTTGTTCGGGTCATAAACGGGCTCGACCACGACATGGTGGAAATCGCATGGGTAAGCCTTGGACGACACTTCATGGGTGACATACTGCACGGTGTATTCGAGTTGTGTTGTGTCCCCATCCACGGCCAAGACGTGCCTTCCCTTCTGAAGCAGATTCCACACCACCTGCGCGTGCGGCTTGCCCAAGAACAGCACAGCATCTGCCACACCATAGAAGAAAAGAAGCTGATTGCACAACTGATTCGGATTCCGCTCGCCGTCCTTGTACAGAGCCCCCCTCTGGATCAGGTTTCCGATGTCCGCGAAAGTTAAAGCCTTGAAAGACTTCTCCTCCACATCCGTGGGTGTCACTTTCTGTTTCCTCCGGAGAGCGGCGACGTCGTCTTCAGCAACAGCTCCCTCGTACACCGGGTGAGTCAGTAGTCGAGGATCCTCGCCTTTGAAAAGGATGTGCATCACATCTGGCTCCTCCCAGACGCTGTCTCCGAACTAATGCTTCTTCTTCGATGCCGTCTTCCGAACCCACTTCCCCGTGTAGCATCAGGTAGCCCCAAGCGCAGACAAACATGTCATGAAGGAGAGGTTCCACTGGCAGAGGACGAATACCACCATGTCCAGTAGTCCTGACAAACGAAGCCCAACAACTCACTCAGAGACGCGAATGCCCCAAAGTCCCATTGCGCACGGTCCACAACACCGCACAAGTCGAGCACGCAAGTGTGGGAGCGTAGCTGATGCCCTAGTTTTCCCCGCGCCTGCTTATGATTTATGGCACTCAACGGGTCGACGTTAAACTGGGCCAGCGTCGTCAAGGCGCTTGTCCTTGTCCACATAATGTTGATGCATTCATCAACGCCCCGAGGGCTTTTTTTGCCTTTGGCGCGATCTCCAGTGATCACCGAAAGGACAACACGCTTCCACTCCGCCGGGAAATTCTGGTCGTTGACGAGGGCCGCCGTTCTCTTGATGTTGTTGTCGTGTTGACACCCGAGAAACTGAGGGCACTTGTTGACGTATGTGGTGTCTGTGAAAAATTTCCTGCTCTCGTTCCAAAGCTTGTCGTCGAGACCTCTGTCCTTGAACTCTTTGAACAGTTGCTTCTTGGACCTGAAGAACATGGAGTTGGCATTCCACTCCCGCTTATCCATTTCCTCGTACTCGAACTCCACGTAGTGCCACAGCCTCAGCATAATCCGGTCCATTTTTATTATGTCGACCATCTCCTTGACACTGAACTTCCCCTGCTCGGCCAACTTTTTGCTACTCGTTTGAACCCACACGACGTTAAGGTTCAAGACGCCATTCAACAACCTTTTCTTCTCGCGGTCCATCAAGTCCACCAATTCCTTCCAGCAGTGGACATCCGGCTCTGGAACTTGGACGTAGAAAGTTTTCTCCTCCGCGCCTTTCTTTGGCTTCCCCCTGCCCTTTTTCAACGACGGGTCGTCCACCTTCACGTACCAGACGTGTTTCTCCAGCCCCTGGTTGTCAGTCACAGTGAAGAGTCCTGGCTTGGCCACCTCCTCATGGGTGGGCGGCTTTTCAGTCCAACGCCGGCTGTCGGAAGCAAGGAGTTTCCCTTTCGACCGCTCCTCATAGAACTTCAACCCCAAAGCGAAGACGAAGTCATCTGCTATGGCCAGCGGGAGGTAGTATCGAAGTTTCTCAGCCCATTCCTTTCTTTTCTTTGCTTCCGTTGACAGGTTCCAGATAGGCGTGTACGGCGTCTTCTTCATTGCCAACGCCATGAACCGCACCCACTTTCGCATCTCGTCCTGTTTCTTCGAGGCATTGCCGAGCACCACACGCGGTTTGCCCTTAATTTTTCAGATATTCCGAATGTCCCGCATAGATAAAACCTGCAAGCACGGTGGATTCTTCTTGTCTTTCATGTTGTCTTCGCAATTGACATAGGCGTAGCCGTCGAACTCGTCGTCAGGGAAGTAGATCGGTCTGAACGGCCATTTACAGAAGTTGTAGTAATCAAACACGGGATGGTCTTTCACCATCATCGCCGCCCTCGCGTTGTGCTGTCCACACACAGGATAATACCAGTATCTCTCCGGGTGTGAGCTGTCGAAGTCAGCAGGCAGCACACGCACAACAAGCTCGCCGTTCTCTGGAGGTGCGACGATCGGAGCGAGAACGAAAATGGGCTTCGTGTATCTCATGTCTTTACGTTCGTAGCAGTCGATCATAGCCGACACGATGGTATCAACGAGGAACTCGTCCAAGGATCGGTGGTTGTACGCGTCTTCCCAGTTAGGAATAGCTAATATTCTTTCGGGATGGATGTGCAACACGACGTCCTTCTGCACCCCTGTCTGCATCTCGAGAAAGAACGCATTGTCGAGGTTAAAGGCGTTGAGGTTAATCTCCACGTCGTCATCCCCCTCCCCGCTATCGCCCTCGTCTGCTTTCTTCCCCCTCGATGATTTCGCCCTTTTCGCGGAAGACTCACCGGTTCTTCGTTGTGTCGACGAGTCTTTTGGCGTTTCATCCCCACCTCCAACTCTTTTCCTCTTCTCAACGGAACCGCCCTCTCATGTTGTTGGCGTTCGAGCACTCGCTCCTAACTTTCTTTGCCTTTTCAGAGCACCTAGTCCCTCTCTCTCTTCCTCATCCAGCAAGATGCGCTTGCCTCCCGGCTGAGTCTTTTCAGCCGATCTCTCACGGAACAGCCCCTGCTCGGACACCTCCTCCTCACCGGCGACGTTCCCACTTGCTTCTTGTTCCTGGCTCAACTCCGTCTGCAGTTCCCCCGGCGTTGGTCGGGCCCGGCGAGTCGTCTCATCTGACCCACGCACCTCTCGAACCTGCGCACCACCCGCTCGATCTCCAGGCGAAACCTCGGCCACCTACATGCCACGAACGAACGAACCGATCCTTTCGACCAGACAACGAGGAGTCATCGATTCTGAGCCCTGTTGCAACCGTTCGCCATCGTCGTCTCCATGTGGCGTCGACTCCCCAAGCAAACTGTGGCGGCGAGACACATGCAAGCCCGGTTTCAAAGGAGCACGCGGATGGTCGTCCTCCGAGTCGTCTGACATGCCCACCTCTTGATCAGGAGGCGTAGCTGGCAGGCCACCCTGACCTCCCATCTCCCTTTTAGAGCACTCTCCTCCCGCGAACCCAACAGGACCATTGATCGATGTTCCAGGTCTGACGTCCACGGCACAGACAGAGGTACCAGATTTCGCCCAGACCTCGAGGAAGTCTGTGACGTGAACGGCCTCGTCGTGCCCCGACGCTAGCGGGAGAAAGTGAGGCAAAGACATCGCACGACGGCCGTACCCGTCGAACATCTTCCCGGCAACCTTGCATCCCTTTGCGATGCCGTCGACAGAACCATTACTTCTGTAATGCTTCTTCAACGTAAACTTGAAATTGTATTCACCATCGTCGACCCACTGGACGATGGACCCTGCGAGATGCGTTCTGTCGGCGCGAACGGCGACGAACAAGAGCGGCCCGCATGGTGGTTGCAACGGGTCGGAGCTGTCCTGGCTCGCCCAGTCCAAATACCAGACATGTTTGCTGTAGTCCCACCACAAGTTTTGAGCACGTCGTTCTTCCTCCCCACCTCCAACTCCCCGACTCGTTTCCCTTGCCGGCGACGACGTCGTCCCTCGACGCTCCTCTCCGTGTGGGGCGGAACCACCAGCGAAGCGGCCTCGTCCGTGTGAAGCCATTCCCTGAAACACACGGAGGAAATGAACCCACATTCACTCAGAACAGTCAGCACGTCCCAACATCAACCACGATTCACGACACGTATTCTGTTATCGGTCACCCAGACTCCAAAAGAACGAAGTTCAATCATAGTTAGACGACAGTGGTCCACAAACCTGCACGTTTCGGATGAATCCGAGGCATCGTCAGCCATCCTCGTCACACTGCCCTTAAGAGAACGAATGCTCGAAAACGAAGACCATGGGATAGATCGGATACATCCGAAGCAGGCACAGTCGAAAAACCGATGTCGCATAGGCACCTGCCCCGGGAAAAGCAACACCTCGCAAGAAGGCCCTAGAACGCTGATACGGCAGACGAAGGCGAATACGTTATCATCCGAAGTCGACAAGTGGATTGTAAAGTCCGCCGTTGTAGTTCGGATGAATCCGAGCTCCAAAGCGGTGTGGACCTCCCCCTGTCGGCCCGTACGAAACCGAACTCGAGTTTTCTTGTCCTTCTGAGTCGGTAACGGTTGTGACTCGGATGCATCCGAATTCGAACAGCGCGGTCCAGAGACGGTCGTCCACAAGAGGTCATCTACAGCACGTGTTTTCGTCACCAACCTGCAAGCACTGGGTTAACCCTATCATGCCGGGGGTTCGGTTCGGTTGAACCTGAACTTCGCAAATGTGGCTCGGATGACGCCCATCCAGCCATCCAAGCTTCCGTTATTCCCCAGCTGTCGTCGGGTCCAACCGAATTTCGCATGGTGTGTCTTCCTCCTTGAGTGTTTAAGACGAGTGTGGCTCGGATTTATCCGATTTCGACAGAGGCTGTCCCGATACGTGCGACCACGATAGGCTGCGCCGACACCGTTTGCTTTTGACGTACAAGTTTATCAGACCGTGCGACATCGTCAATACCCTCTGATCATGTGGTAAATCCGAAAATGCCACCGGTGTGGTTCGGATTAATCCGACTTCGCCGAGGCGCTTCGCTTTGTTGTCGCTCCACCACACAACGGACCTCCCCGCGATTGCCGTAGTGTGTCATTATAATTTGTGCGTCATCACGGGGGATATCGTCGTCGTCGTGAGTTTTAGTTGGTTGTTGCTTGCCCAATCCAAACAACAGACACGTTTGCTGTAGTCGCAGCACAAGTTTATAGCTCGTCTTTCTTCCACCGAGCGTAACCATCTCGACTCGTTTTAGTTGCATGAATCCGAGGCAGCTTTCTAGAAGACGAAGACAGCGTGGTAGTTTGGACACATCCGAACTAGGCAGAGTTGAAAGACCAACGTTGTGACTCGGATGCATCCGAATTAGGCCGACCACAAGAGGAGGACATCGGCACGACGTGTTCTCCTCAATGACCTGTGAGCAGAGGGTGGACCCTATCCTGTCGGAGGTGTGGTTTGGATTAATCCGAGACGAAATGGTCTTTTGACAGCGTGTGATTTCGTCGTTCACGTTTATGGAAACGTGCGGCGTCGTAAATACCGTCTGAGCATGTGACAAATCCAAATTTGTCGTCAGTGTGGTTCGGATTAATCCGAACTTCGCCGAGGTGCCTCGGTTAGTGGTCGCCCCGTCAGTTTTAGTGGGTTGTGACTCGGATGCAACCGAAATTAACAAGGATGGCTCGGATACGTCAGTTGTTGCGCCACCACAAGATGGTATGGACAGGGGGGGTTGTCGTCCTCCTGGTTGGTCAAACATGTCGCCGTCGACAATACCCTATGACCATCTGATCGCTCCGTGTCCTGTCCTATGTCCAAGTCAAGGGAAGGGTTCCTCGCGGCGTTTGGCTGACGCGACGTTTGATAGGGTTTAAAGATTTGAATTCACGTTCGCCTCTTGTGTCTTCGAATCTGTCGTAGCAGTCTTCGGACTACTGATCAGTGATTGCACTCAGGGGGGGACCAACCTGAGATCGGTTGAGCGACTGTCTGCGATACACAAAGATTGGAAAAAGGCAGAAAACCCGCATAGACACGGAAGGGAGACTAAGATCGATAGAGACGTCGACAAGGAGAGGATGCGCAGCGAGAGAGCCTGTCTTTATCTCTCTGTCTCTCCATGTGCAGATCTTGCGGATGGTGTTGTCCATTTCGAAATTCGCAATGTGACCGTTAATAAAACGGCACAAAAGAAGTTTAAGAAAAAATTGTTCGTGTCGGCGAGAGGAAGATTGACGAAAAATGTGACAAATTCGACGAATGTGGAGGACATTTTACGGATACAAAACCGAACGTCGAGCGAACTGCACGACGCGACTTACGCGGAAAACGAATAAACAAACCGAGCGCAATAAAAATTTATTCGGCGAGAAGAAAGTCCATGTGCAATCCAGAAGAGACACGATTCGTGAGAAACCATGTTCTCTTGTTCGACAACATACGACTGAAATCCTTATATCGCAGTTTGTGAGAGAGACAACAAATTGACGACAAGCGAGTAACACTTCAACAAAACATTTGAAGTGACGACACAATCTGGAAGTGTGTGTCGCAACATTCTCGGGCTGCATTTGCGGGTCCCGTTTCGTTGGTGACCACTCGCCCCGATCAAATGGCACACTCACATGTCCACGTGACAGCTCCTGAACATGCATGGCGACGATCAGATAGAGCCCCGCATCCATCAGCGTGGCCACGCTTGTTCAGGACGTGACACGTGGACGTCTGAGTGTGTCATCTGATCGGTGTGAGTGATCGCCAATGAAACACATGCATTCTTGCTCCCGAAACTCCTTCATCTCGCCCCGATCAGACGGCACACTCACACGTCCGCATATCATGTCCTGAACATGCGTGGCCACACTGATGGGCGCGGGGCTGTATTGGAGCCTCGCATCCATTCTGCTGCCGCATAGAGCCCCTTTGTCGCATAGAGCCCCGCATCCATCAGCKTGGCCACGCTTGTTCAGGATGTGACACGTGGACGTCTGAGTGTGCCATCTGATCGGTGCGAGTGATCGCCAATGAAACGCATGCATTCTTGCTCCCGAAACTCCTTCATCTCGCCCCGATCAGATGGCACACTCACACGTCCGCATGTCATGTCCTGAACATGCGTGGCCACGCTGATGGGTGCGGGGCTATATTGCAGCCTAGCATCCTTTCTGTTATCGCATAGAGCCTCCCAAGGCTCGCATCCATCAGCGTGCACACGCTTGTTCAGGAACTGACACGTGGACGTTTGACTGTGCCATCTGATCGGGGCGAGTGGTCGCCAATGGAACGAGATCCACAAACGCACCCCGAGGTACAATCGCGAAAGAAACAGGCTAACGCATAAGACGAACGAAATAGAGGCGCTGAAGACAAACTAATGATGGGGACGAAGATGGTAGTTGAACACGACGGCACACAAGTCCACGTGTCAAGTCGTGATCATGCGTGGCCACGCTGATGGGTGCGGGGCTCTATTCAACAACATTCTGTTGCCGCATAGAGCCCCGCATCCATCAGCGAGCCCACGCTTGTTCAGGACCTGCCACGTGGACGTGTGAGTGTGCCATCTGATCGGGGCGAATGGTCGCCAATGGAACTAGATTCGCGAAAGCAGGCCGACGGAAAAGACGAACGACATAGAGGCACTGATAGAAAACTGACGGCGATGGTGGTGGAACACGACGCTGTTGGTTCTGTCTCGTTCGTTTGTCTGCGCTTGTCAGTTACGTTCGCAAACTTTGTGCGAACGACAAGCGCAGTGAAACGAACGAGATAAAAGACAGAAAGAGAGATAAAGAGATCGCGCGAGAGAGAGCGCGCGACATAGAGGCGATCTCCGCCTTCATCACACGGCCCAATCAAACGTCACGATCAAATAGCCCCGAACGTCATAGACTCCCTATCACACATCGGACTCACGGAGAGAAATCCCTGTTGGATCACACGACACTGCTTGTTCGCGGCGACTGAACCCAATGTAATCGCCACCGCGCGAATCCCGACTACAGATCGCGTACATGTGTGGGCATTTTGACGGTCTACGCAAACCCAGCAGGGCAGGACTTTTCAGGTCGATGTAGATGGCGAGAGAAAGAGAGAGAGGGAGAGATGGAGTGAGAGAGAGCGAGAGAGGGAGAGAGACAGAGAAAGAGAGAGAGAGAGAGAGAGA